TGACGTACATACATGTGTATGTATGGGTATTTATATAGCGCTATAGGCTATGTTTGACTATACGCTCAGTGCGCTTTTGGAGAGTACTTGGGGAAACCTGATTTATCAGGCTACTCATACGTGTCTCGGGATCGGGTTCGGTCTAGAACAGCTGCGCCGGCTCTGCGGATTCTCTGAACCCGTGGGTAAGCGCCGACCCAGGCCGGCACTGGTAGGGCGCAGATTCCCCGACTCGGTAGTTCAGGTCTCGGCGCCGGTAGTTCAGGTCTCGGCCTGATGTCTATCGGCGTATTGACCTAGATGCCATCGAGTGTGCGGGTGTGACTGTCACCCGCCCGAGGTCTGTCTGAGTGCTTGTGAAACCTTGATTGTCAGGCTTCTCACATGTGCCTCGGAATCGGGGTTCAGGCTTCATTACAGTGGACAAGTCGATTTGAGCTTCGCTCATTTCGCTACTTTGAACTTACCACTAAGTAGGTTAGTCCCTGAGGGCAAGTGCGAGATAGAATCGCGGCTGTGTTGCCTCAGGTGTTGTCCATGTCGACTACCGAACCGTTGGAGTTAAGCCTCCCCGAGGGAAGCCTGCTTCCAGCACGGCATCCGGGACAAGGCCTCACACTCTCCCTTAAGTCTGCCGTTCTTTCCCCTTCACAGCTCAACGCTGTATGCTCCTTTCGGCGCATCTCTCAGCTGCTGAGGGAGCTGGTGGAAAGGGGAGAGAGCGCCGTGGAATTTTTTTCGTCGGCTGACTCTGGGCGGCATCTGACGGGGCAACTCTCATCTGGCTAGGGTCTGCATTGTAGCTGTGCCAGTCAAATGATGAGGGCGGTTATGGGCATATCGCCGGGACAGTTTTCGAGGAATACGGAAGTCTGTTGAGCTTCGTTACTTCCTCAGGTGCCCAGGCATCAGCAAGCGTTAAGTTGCCGACTGCTGGGGTTACTATATTCTGCCGCAAACACCGGGCGGAGCGACACACTCCTGTGTCGGCTTCCCGGAGACGGCGACAATACTCTGTGCCCAGATCCAGTCTTTGCTGGGCTAGGCAACCAGTGTGGTGGTTTCCAATGGTCAGGAATATGTGGGGTTTGACTCCACTTATTTCATAGTTGCCATTACGAACGGAATGTTCAGACCCATTCTCATCTGAGAGTGAACAAGTTTATAGAGGTACTGTCCTTCAAGATGGAGACACCGCTTCGGTGATCTCATCTGCCGAGACAGGGATTGGCGCTGCGCCAATCGACCTCGAAGTCGCGTACCTCCTTGTTCCATTGCACCCTGATTTCAAGATTTACCTTCATTTCTTGTTTGACGGGACGTGCTACCAGTTTCGTGTGCTCTCTTTAGGCTACATTACGGTGCCAAGGGTGTTCACCAAATTGAGGTTTATTACAGCTCAGATAGCCAGATCGCAGTGTCGGTGTTGTCACCCGTACATAGGCGACTGACTCATCGTGGTTTCAGATAACTGTTGAGTCTGGGGACCTCACGATCAGTTACGAAACTGGGCGGAATTGTCAACCTCACGCAGTCAGATGGACAGACGTCAGGCGTCTCTCCGAGGGTCCCCACCCCTGGAGACACCGTCGCTCTCAGTCCAGCCAGATACATCCCCACCGGGTTAGGGCGATGTTCTGGGTGACCTGCAGCCTCTTGAGACGAAGTCACAACCTGCACATCAATGTGCTGGAATTGACAGCAGTCAGGTTGGTATTCGATCCCGCGCGCGGGATTGAATTACCTCTTCGCCAGACATTCTCACTCTGCACGGGGCCACACCGAATCCTCGAATTCACTGGGTGGCTTGGCCTCTGTCGGGTATAACACACGAATTCCTGCAACCGTTGCAGACACAATTCTGCCTGGGATTCGACACCCGTTCAGTGTGTTGATAGTGGGAAGCCGCTGGTGTGCAGATAGGGGATTTCATAATCCCTATTCTGGCGGACTTAGTGCAGATATTGGAGTTACTATAACCTCGCTTTTGGTTGAGAGCCTTATGACCTCCACCATTGCCGGGTACCCCATGGCTATTTCCACGCTTCACACCTCGCTCGATGGTGCTCTGCCTAGGCAGCATCCTCTCGCATATCGGCGTCAGTAGCTGGCATGAACAGGGTTCGACCGCCTCGTCGGCGACCCAGCCCACCTTAAAATTGCCACTTATTCACAATTGGCTGTCTGGCCCTAATTTTTCAAGTATATCGTCTCTCTCACTTCACTTGTTGACGTGGAAGACGACTTTACTTGTTGTGGTGAACTCTCTGGTAGAAGGGTCGGGTACATCCATGCGATTCCCACTGACCCGACACTGACAGTATTTTATACTGATCATGACCGTATTAGACTCCCGGATACCTACCACTCTCAGTGCGATATTGCTTTCCACGTGACTGCTCATATCGCACTTCCACTTCTTACCCAGCCTTTCCGCGCGGGGACCAATCTTCGATTGCTCACCCGTGCCTGTCACTTAATCGAACAAAAGGGATCCGTCACGGGTACCCATGTGTGCTGTTTGGTGGCGGAAGACTGGGGAGTCTGCTAGCAAAGCGACTTTATCTCGTTGGCTTGTTTCCGTAATTGTATGGTTACAATGATACGGTTTACCTCCCCGAGGGTTGAAGGCAGACTGGGTAGGGCAGATGCCGCTTTGTTGACAATACACAGCGGCACTGCTCAATTAAAGGATCGGTTCTGTCGCTCTTTGGAGCCAGCAGAACGCCTTCATTCGCCATTACCAACTTGACACGCATTCTAAGGATCGTGCTCGGTTCGGTCTTCGGTTCTCTCCAGTGGAGAGTGACCTGCCACCCTGACCAAGTTAGTAACTGGTCATTGGTATCGGTTCTGTGTTCAATGTCGATATATTTCATATCACTACATCATTATTAGCCTTACCATCCTTCGGGTTGGGTCAGGTTTGGGTGTACATACGTCCCTTACGCCCCTTCAAGAGGGCGGGTCCGTTTTGAACGCTTTAACCAGTAATATGCTATTAACCCGTCTTCATGCACGGAATTGCGCGAAACCCCACGGGCACTGTTTGGTATGCCTCTCGAGCCGCATGTCACGTGACCAGGTTAGTGTAATGGTGAGCCAACATATGTTCGGCTACGCTTTTCGCTATTCAGGGGATTTTTGTACGCTTACAGTTTTTCCCTCTTCCCGAGCCTTCGGTATTTGGGAGTCTGTGTTGATCAGCTTTGTGGGATGGTGGCCTACACTTACCTTCCTCACGCCGAGAGTGTTTGGTGGGGGTGTTTTTCACTCGTACAATGCATGGCGTTTGTACTCGTTCGATTTCCTCAGAAAGTTTTAGCGAGGCTAATAATTTCTCTGGGTTTTATCGAGATCCCGGCAAGCCCTCTTCCAAACAGGGGCTGCATTCGAGCATTAGTTTGCAGTACTTATTAGCTCGACTCCTGGGTTATTGGCTTTGTAGCGTTTAAATTTTTTACGCTTTCCCTACCCTTATACCTCTCGCCACGATTGTCTGGCTGGGGCTATATTAGGGTTGGGAGTTGTTTCGGCATGTCCCCATACATTCCTTCCATTGTAATGGTTGGGGGCCGGGTTTTATGTCATTGATATTGAGCCAATTGACATATAAGCTTGGGCTCTCTAGTTCCGCCCGTCTGATTGACATCAGCGGTCAGGTGGCTCGGTGTTTTCTATTTCGTATCGGGTTGTAGATTTCACTCCACCACGGATTTAGTTGTTGCCAGACAGAATGCCACTCCGTCTCAAATATCTTTGGGAGTCTGTCATATGCTTATATGTACCCCAAGGAGGACTTCTTCTGAAAAGAATTATACAAACCTGTAGAGGTTATGAATTCTTTGAAGAAAGTCCTCCTTGGGGTAAGGCCACCCGCCTCCTCATTCTGTCTGACACGTTCAGCATGAAAAGTGAGGTACGAGGTAGACGGCGAGAGTTACCTGCTCTTGGCTGTGTTGGTCCGATGGGGCCCTGTAGGGGTGGTCTCACAAGACAAAACGAGTTTTTTGTTTTGTAAATATTTTATTAAAAATATAGTTACAACTGTCGTAGGATTTAAAATGGACATTTTAATGCTTATATGTACCCCAAGGAGGACTTTCTTCAAAGAATTCATAACCTCTACAGGTTTGTATAAATTTTTTATCCTTCTCAGCGACATATCTCAAGAACCGTTCATTGGAGTTTCTTCATATTTGACACCAAGCTTCATATAGCGCAGGGCCCAGTCGATTTTGGTGACCTTCACATAATTTTCAAGGTCACGGCAACACTTTGAGGATTTTAGCATGTTAAGATTGTCAGCAAGATCTCAAGGGTGGTTCACTGGATTTTGTTCATAGACTTTCAAGACATTTCTTGAATGCTTTTATGATACTCAATTTCTATATTACTACTTTTTTACATTCATGTCAAGGTCAGGGGCGGTGGGGTAGCCTAATGGTTAAAGCATTGGCTCGTCACGCCGAAGACCCGGGTTCGAATCCCCACATGGGTACAATGTGTGAAGCCCATTTCTGGTGTCCCCCGGCCGTGATATTGCTGGAATATTGCTGAAGTGGCGTAAAACCAAACTCAGTCAGTCAGTCAGTCAGTCAGTCATGTCAAGGTCAAAGTGAGTCTCGAGAATATTTGTGTGTTTGAATAGCTGCAGAGCAAGATATCAAGAGAGGTTGACTGGTGAAGTTTTTGTTGACATTTAACTTTATCTTAAACTACAACCTTCACTTTCATTACTTTTTAAATTTGATTTGAAACTTTGCGGTAATTAGTGACAACTGCTTGTTACTTTTAGCTTGATAATGGTGTAAGAATCTACACCGAAACAATGTTCTATGCAACAAATAAGAAGTTGTCATCCATAAAGTTGTATGCTTCATTATTGACTCACCAACTTATGGAAAGCCAATCAAACAATTACCTCCCACCAATCACTCGCATACTGTCCAATGTTTCTTTCTATTTGGCATGGTTCTATTTTATTATTGTATCCCCAGGAAACAACGCATGGCCTGTGTCGGATCGTCATGTCATTAGCTGAGACACACACCAAGTTGATAGTCGAATCCTCTCTTGGAGAGAACCAGCAACATAAGAACAATGTCAACGAGCTCATTCAGATGGTGCTGGTAAGTGGGGTGGGCTTGATTATTTACAGACCACCGCCATACAGCTGGAATACTGCTGAATGCGGCGTAAAACTAAACTCACTCACTCCAGACTGCCATATATGTATATGCTGACCACTGTTACACAGCAAACAAAACATCTTTAACATGTTTAAACAGTTGATGATGTCATGTGTAGCCATTAACAACAAGTTCGTAGAATTTGGAGACAAGGACTTGAAAATAAGCTCTGTCCTTGCATGTTCCAGAGGTTCACGTCCCTCCCCGGACACTACCCTGTGGATGAAGCCTGCAGTGACCTATCTTTCACGTTCTGGTACATACTACAGGTAAACTGTTCTTCATGTTCTGGTACATATGTTCTTCATGTTCTGGTACATACTACAGGTAAACTGACCTGTCCCTCACATTCTGGTACATACTACAGGTAAACTGTTCTTCACGTTCTTGTACATACTACAGGTAAACTGTTCTTCTGTCCCTCACATTCTGGTACATACTACAGGTAAACTGTCCTTCATGCTCTGGTACATACTACATGTAAACTGTCCTTCATGCTCTGGTACATACTACAGGTAAACAATCCTTCATGCTCTGGTACATACTACAGGTAAACAATCCTTCATGCTCTGGTACATACTACAGGTAAACTGTCCTTCATGCTCTGGTACATACTACAGGTAAACTGTCCTTCATGCTCTGGTACATACTACAGGTAAACAATCCTTCATGCTCTGGTACATACTACAGGTAAACTATCCTTCATGTTCTGGTACATACTACAGGTAAACAATCCTTCATGCTCTGGTACATACTACAGGTCAACTGTCCTTCATGCTCTGGTACATACTACAGGTAAACTGTCCTTCATGCTCTGGTACATACTACTTGTAAACTGTCCTTCATGTTCTGGTACATACTACAGGTAAACTGTTCTTCACATTCTGGTACATACTACAGGTAAACTGACCTGTCCCTCACATTCTGGTACATACTACAGGTAAACTGTCCTTCACGTTCTGGTACATACTACAGGTAAACAATCCTTCATGCTCTGGTACATACTACAGGTCAACTGTCCTTCATGCTCTGGTACATACTACATGTAAACTGTCCTTCATGTTCTGGTACATACTACTTGTAAACTATCCTTCATGTTCTGGTACATACTACAGGTAAACTGTTCTTCACATTCTGGTACATACTACAGGTAAATTGTTCTTCATGTTCTGGTACATACAACAGGTAAACTGTCCTTCATGCTCTGGTACATACTACAGGTAAACTGTCCTTCATGCTCTGATACATACTACATGTAAACTGTCCTTCATGTTCAGGTACATACTACAAATAAAATTTATGCTCTGGTACCATACAACAGGTAAACTGTTCTTCATGCTCTGGTTCATACTACAGGTAAACTGTCCTTTCTGCAAGTCCATTGAAACCCGATTTTGACTCTCAACTAAACATCTTGACACAAATGGATGACCATATATCCGCACAAAACAGGGGTGTAGTTGAAGCAAGCCCTCTGATTGGTTGATGTTTGTTAAGGAGACATTTACAAATGATGCTTTTTTTTGAGAAGCCATTGCTGAAAAAACAAATCTTACATATCCTCCAAGTCAAGCAGTTGATGAAAGTAAAAATTCCCACGAATATAAAGAATGTGTAGATTTACAAGTGTCAACCAATCAAAGGGCTTGTTTCGACCACAGCAAATCGGCATGAAAGTCAAATTATTCACTCTCCTCGTGTTCCAGGACGAGCTTCAGGCTCTTGATGCAAGTCAGTTCCGCATCCTGCAGCCGATCTTCCACCGTATCTACTTCTCGCTGATGGAGGTGTTGCTGACCAAAGTCCAGTACCCCAATGACCAGGAGTATGAGAGCTGGTCCAGCGAAGAGAAAGAGCAGTTTCGCTGCTACAGGCAGGACATTGGAGACACGATGGTATGTACACATTGTCAACAAATATGTATTTGTGAAGTTTTATTGATCATTTGGTCAGGTGTTCAAATAGAAAATATATACTACTCAACCTTTCTAGAGGAATAATGCATGAAGATCCAAGAAGATTGGTCTTTAGCAACCCATGAAACTAACAGGATTGGGTGGTCAGGTTCACTGACTTGGTGGACACATGTCATTGTATACCAATTGCGTAGATTGATGCTCATGCTTTTGATCACTGGATTGTCTGGTCCAGACTTGATTATTTACAGACCTCGACCATATAGCTGGAATGTTGATGAATATTATAGTTAAAGTACGAGGACGCTTGCGTCCGAGTGCTTTAACGTTACAATAGTTCAGGGCAAAAGTGTGCTTTATTACACTATACATGGTGGGAGAGCGAACTGTATTTCTTTTCTAAGATGCCAAATTTAATACTTTCTAAGGATAATTACGATTAATTTAAGGCAGAAAACAAACGACGGTGTCGGTGACTTAAATTAAGAATGCTCGCACAGGGCTAACTGGCGCCGCTGTTTTATCGATGTGTCTGCCCCCTTACGTTAAGACGAACGTTACCAGAAAAAAAACAAATGATAAAAGTCTGATGACGTTTTACGTTCGGATTAAATATCTTCCCTGAATTGTTTTGATTACATCTGTCATTAACATGAACCATATTGGGCAATATGAACGTCGCATTTTTACTACAACGTAATTTAGATCAGTACATCCAGATGAAGCTGACATTCACGATTGCATTGTGGGAATGTAAACATTGCGAACGTTACCGTGTCGCGGAAAACTTGTGAGTCGAATTGACACATTTTAACCGTTGTAAAACATAAACGTAATGTTTCCTCCAGTGATGTTAGCTCAGAAGGGTACACAAAGTCCGCAGTCTAGACTACCAGTTGTCCGACTTCCATTTTCGTGGAAGCCGCAGTAGCTGAGCGGACTTTGTGTACTGGCGATTAGGTGCCTGACTCTGAGGGTGTGGGTTCGAATCCCGGATGGGACTCAACAACCCCACCCCCACCCCACCCCAAAAATGTGCGTGAATCTGTACTTTACTGAGAAAGTGTAATCCCAAATATAACATATGTTATATCCTGAAAATAGACCAAATCAGGAAGCTGCTACAACTGTTGTCCTTTACATTTGTTTGCTGTTATTTACAAAATGCTTTCATATTTCAGATGTATGCCTTTAACATCCTGAGAGAGCCTCTGATTGGCTATCTGTGCAATATATTGAAGAATCTCCTTCAGTCGCAAGATTTACGCTGGCAGGTGGGCATAACTTATGTTATCACGTCAGAGATAAAATCTGGTATCATCGTCATGGCATACATAGATATCTAGTTGGATGGATGGGAAGCCTAATGGATAAATCATTGTCTTATCACAACTGGAATATGAGTTCACTATGATGTTTATATCTGCTGGACAACGCCATGATATTATTATATGGGTATTTATATAGCGCTATAGGCCATACCTCATGCATTCTCAAAGCATTCTTTGTTTTTCCCTCGATCATTGGATGTCAATCTCCATGGCACAACATATTACCAATCTCAACTCCCTGGGGAACATCCCACTCTTGCAGCCAATGTGGCTTTCACATCCTAATGTGGTACCCATTCACAGCTGGGTGGACTGGGATACCTGGTCACAGTACTTTGTCAAAGTGTTACTGTACGTTACTGTACCGCAACTAGGTGTGTGCACATATTCATGTGGCCACTATCTGGTCATTTACCAAGTGGTTCGTGGGTTCTTTTAAGTGCACAGGGTTGTGTACTATAGACTAGGGGTTGTGACAACACTGAAAGAGTCTGCACACAAAGTTGACTCCAAGGTTTTTACACCCGGTCACAAATGGGCTCGATCCCGGCACCTCAAACTAGCTGGATCACTAGACTTGCGCCTTAGCCAGCTCACCCCCATATTACTGGAATATGGACAACATGAAATATTTTGTAATGTTCTCTGAATTTTGGTGTCCAGTTATACTTCAACCTCACAAAAACAAAACCTGTTTTCAGTCTTTGTTGTCCCCCGCTGCAACGCGGAACGGGGGACTATGTATTCAGCGGCGTCTATATGTCCCGATTCTTGTTAACGCGATATCTCATGAACTGTTGTACCCAATGTCTTCAAATTTTGTGACAGTTTACATTGGGGTATTACACAGACACCAGATTATTTGGGTGACCTTGACCTATCTTCAAGGTCATCGCGACACTTTGACAGCTTTTTAAACGCGATATCTCATAAAACATTGCACCCAATGTTTTCAAGTATGTTGACTGCCTACATTGGGTGATTATGCAGACACCAGTCATTTCAGGCATCTTGTATGTGACCAACAAATAAAAAGTAGTAAATATAGATATTCCATTCTTTAGCGGCGGGGCACATTGCCATATCAGTGGCAAACACTTGTTTTAATAGAAGTTATGAACTTTCCTGTCTCTCATGACAGCGCCTGTCAATTCAGAAAGTATTGTATTTCATTTAATCTGCAAACTTTTGAATTAATTATGTTGATTTTTTTTTCAGACTCTAGAAGCTATGTTTTTCCTGTTTGGTTCTGTTGCTGAAAGTGTAGATTTAGAAGAAACTGTGTATTTACCGATGTTACTCGAGATGCTTCCCAGGGTGCCGTTCAACAACATCAAGTTGATATCGACAGCTCTCTACATGATAGGTAGGCAACCGAGAACCGGAATGAGGTTGGATCACTCACATTGAGGTTCTGTGCATATTTTTCACCGATGGCTCTCATTCACACAGATTTGTTAAGTAAACAGGTGTGTTGCAATGTTGTATTTAATATGATTCACTCACATATGATGTCAGCTATGGGTGATCAGAGCTCTTATATTGCAGACAGTACGGTATTGTACTGCTCCTCAGCATCCAGAGAACAGACTTTGTTCATCTTATCATTAACATCTTAAGGAGCTTCAGATCATCGTGACTCTTAATTCACTGTGTTATGCCCCTTTAATATGCCAGGATTCACTACCTGTGGGTTCCAATGATATATTTGTCTTAATCTGAATCCTTTGTCTGGCAGAACTACAGTAATGTTCTCTGTTTTTTTCTGTCTGAGCAAGATTTATGAAAAGCTTTACAAAGCCCATCAGTCAACCCCATGGATGTTTCAGGATAGAATTGGTCCTCAGAGCCATGTTTGTTCGAGGTGACTCAAAGAGTTGGCCTTTCTCGATGACTTAGGTGGCATCTTACCTGAATGAGTTAGATCATTTCCTTGGCCCATATGTTAAATAGTTGACTGCAAACAAACAAATGCTGACAAAGCCCTGTATGTTTCTGTTCCAGGCTCTTTCGGGGAGTGGATGAACTGCCACCCCGACAGCCTGGGGTGTGTCATCCCCCTCATCCTGCAGGGTCTCGGCAACAGTGAGGTTGCCACAGCGGCAACAATGGCACTCAAAGATGTCACGAGAGAAAACCTAGATCACATACATCCCTTCGCCCACAACATCCTGGTGGCAAGTCAGGTAGTTCATTCCAATATTTACACCTCAGTGCCTCAAAAGAATTACCTGTTGAGAAAAGTGTCTGTTTGGGTTCTTAATGCTATTTACCACGTCCGTGGTGTAGTGGTTAGAGCGTCTGCCCGGAGAGCGGAAGGTCGCAGGTTCGATCCCCGACTGCGTCATACCAAAAGATGTTAAAATATGGTACTTGTTGGTCCCTGTCTGGCGCTCGGCATTAATGGGTACAACAAGGACTGGTCAGCTCGGAGTCAGTATAATGTGTCTGAGTGGGGTATTCATGCTTCACTGCGGCATGGTATCTCAGTGGGCTAGCACTATAAAACAAGCTTAAGTCTGGGCTAGTACAAGCAGCAGCACATACACATACACACGCATGCACGTCGTCATATGAGCGAAATATTCTCAAGCACGACTTTAAACCCAATTTCACCCCACCTCTTAATGCTATTTCATATTTTTCCTTATCCTGACTCATGCTTTTTGCTTGTCTTCTTCTTCTTGCGAACACAGTGGAACACTTGTATCTCCCAATTGAAGCTCCCTTCAATGTAAAATCACTAATTAGTACTCACCAAGAGTTGCCTCCCTCCTAGCCATTTGCGCGGGAACAGGGGCGCCACCTCTTCCCACATGTATCACTCTCTCCTTCTTCGCCCAGTGAGCAGGATGTGAGAGCACCTGTGTCTCCCTACACATTATATCCTTTGTTTATTCTTAGTTATTTACCTCTTATAGACTACTATAGAGGTGTAGCTAGTATCCTTCAACAAAATGCATTGATATTTATTCGTGTTTCTACTGTTTATTCACAGGGACTCCGTGTTTGTTCAGATAGATTGCGTTGATGAGAATCTGCACTATTTGTAAATTACGTTTTTCTGCTGCTGATCCGCATTTAATATGCCCTAGTTGTACTACGCCATGCTCTACTGTTTCACGTTGCAATTATTGCATTAAATTATCCAAGTCTGCCTTTGATAAATATTTATTATGCGTCTTGAGACGCGCAGCAGATAGGTCACGTAAACGTATTTTAGCCATGGCTAATACACCAAAACCCTTACCCTGTCAACTGTTGTCGGACGACCCCCTCCCGTCTGGTGTTCCGCTAGAGTTACCCTTGGAGGAGAGGCGTGGGATGCAGTCCGCCACCTCCAAGAAGTGACCTGCATCCCCAGACATCCCGTCGTCGCAGCCTAAGACTAGGAGGGCTTCCACGTCGTCACAACGCACACTCCGCACCCCCAGGGCAACATCCTCGTCGAATCATCGAAGGCCAGCAGTACTTTCGCAGCCGAGATTGTTCCAGTTGCAGAGTTGGGCCTTTTTGATGATGAAGATCCGATCATCATTCCAGATGTACGGCGGAAGAAGCGGCCAGTGTCGGCAACTATAACTTCAGCGCAGATGACTACGCAGGCTGAGGCAGCTACACTGATGTCAGAGAATCGTCCGGAGGGTCCCGTCGCTACCACCGTAGAGAAGGCAGCAACTACTTCAGCGCAGACCGTCCCAGACGACCTTATGAACCACATCATGCAGATGATGGAAGATCGCTACGGTCTTCGGAGGCCTTCAGAGCCACGGGCGACCCAGCCCACCCCTTTACATTCGTGTAGGGCGACCCAGCCCGTTTGCACGTCTCAGCGTGGGGCGACCCAGCCCGCTAACGCACCTCCTCCTAGGGCGACCCAGCCCGTATCTAAGCCTCCGCGAAGGGCGACCCAGCCCGTCTGCACGAAGGACCCCGATCCTAAGCAGTCGCGGAAGGCTTCACGGAGGATGTCTGTATCACCTACATCGGACCTTGATGAGAGAGGACGTTCGCGAAGCAAGATCCTCTCATCCCATGATTCCGATTCAGACTATCAACCTTCAGGAAGGCCTTCACGAAGGTTTAGTGACTCCAAGTCATCCTCATCTAGAAGATCCTTAAGAGAGTCACCGAGAGCTTCGCAAAGCTATCAGCGTTCGCCAAGGAAGTCTCCACGAAGGTCACCTTATAGACGCCACTCGTCAGTACGTTCACCACATTATTCTACTCGCCGATCTTCTTATCGATCACCTTGTCGATCCAGACACAGTTCAGCTAGGACTCCATCTCAGTCACGTTCGGAGGAGCATCAACACATTATCTGTGACCCGATGTCTGAAGATGAAGAGGGTATCGTATTTTCCGACGCAGAAATAAGATATTGGATGGTGAAGAGCTTGGAACTTTCCTCCCCGTCTAAGAATGAGAACTCAGCCCTCACATACCTTATGAAGGAAGACGATGCTGACTCAATCACCTTACCTCCGATTGACCCGATAGCAGCAGTGCCAGCTAATCTGGATACAGCCTTTAGTAAAGGAATCACAGACACCACATGTGCCGCAATTCAACGCTAACAAGTTTGCAGGTCACAACATGGACCCTTTTTACAAGGCTCAAGAGATCGATGATAACTATAAGATGATCAGCGATGCCAAGTCCAAGAATTACAGAATTGATGACCGCAAGCTAGCCCAAATGGAAACCATATCTAGGAGGATGTTTTTGGTCTAAACAGATCTAGAACAGTTAACGAAACTCTCCTCACGAAGTTCAGAGACTCTACATCTGAGGATGATAGAATGATTTACTCAGCCCTCCTCATGCAGAAGAAGGACCAACAGTACCTTACGGATCACTTAACAGCATTAACCTGCAGCTACTACTATGGCTCGTCGTCAAGGTCTCCTCGCCACCTGTAATTGGGGTGATAACTTCACCGCACCACTCTACTCAGCCCCGTGGTCTTCACCGTCCATCTTCGATGTTAACATAGACAAAGTCTCTAAGGAAGTCTCTAAAGACTCAAGAGAGGTACTAATGATAAAGTCTATGGATACGCTAGAAAGCGTTATCAGACAAACTTCCCAGAGGTACTCAGGTAAATCGAAGTTCCCCGGTCTACAGAGAGCACGGGAAAGGAAGATGGCTAATGTAAGAGGAGCAAAAGAGTCTTTTCGCCGCCCATACGGCAATTACAGAGGAGCATCGGGAAGAGGCAGGTCATCCAGAGGCTCCCGCAATTATAAACGATGAAGGACAGGTTCGGAACGACTGGAGTCTTCCACCTCCAGCCGTTCCAGTACAACCATCACAAGTGGGTGGACACCTTCAACTGCACTGGGAAAACTGGGGATTCCTAGAGGATCCATATGTCTCCAACATCCTACAGCACGGATATCCCTCCGAGGTTCGACTTCCAGGCTCTACAACTACCAAAGTTCAGAGAAGCAGTATCAACACTCCTAACCAAGCAGGCCATAGAAGTACTGGAGCAAGTAAACATCGAACCAGGCTTCTACTCCCCAGTTTTCCTAGTGCACAAGAAAAATTCCAAGGAAAAGTTTCGTCTCATCTACAATATGAGCACGTTCAACAGATTCTTTCTAAGCAAACCGCCAGCGTTTCGCATGATACACTTACCACAACTACGGCATTTAATTCGTCCCAGAGACTACATGGCCAGCATAGATCTGCAAGACGCATATCTACACATCCCTATACATCCCGACTCCAGGAAATACCTTCGGTTTACACTAGACGGGCTCCATTACCAATGGAAAGTACTACCTTTCGGAATCTCATCGGCCCCCTGGTTATTCACAAGAGTGACGAAACCTATGGAGTCTCTTACCTACATCGTCAAGGACTACGCAGTGCATTCTACCTAGACGACGGGATACAAGTGGATCCAGATCCACAGCGTCTCAGACTACAGTTAAACTACATCATCAAGCTACTAACACAGCTAGGATGGTTAGTAAATCTACTCAAGTCGGACCTAGAACCTCACCAAGATCTGCAATTTCTAGGCATTCGATTTCTCCGCGGCGCAGAATCGTATATCGTCGTGCGGAGGACCGATGGATCAAGATCCAACAGATAATCCCTCAAGCCTTACTCTCTCCGCTACCACTACGACAATGGCAGAGTCTGTTGGGTCTACTCACGTCAGCTCAAGACATGACAGTCAGAAGCAGACTACAGTTACGTCCGTTACAGGTCCTCATCAACTCTCATCTCAATGACCCTCAACCATTCAGTCTACCGAATCACGTCAAACCTCACCTACTATGGTGGACCAAGAGATCGAATGTTTGCGATGGAATCTGTTTAATAGAGCCGGAATTGAACACACATCTCTATGTAGACGCGTCGCTCCAAGGTTGGGGAGCACACCTCGCCAACAGGACGGCATCAGGGTTATGGAGCCAACAAGAGAGCAAACTACACATAAACTTGCTAGAAATGCAAGCAGCAGTAAACGCCATACATCATTGGAGCAACTTACTAAAGAATGCCAAATTGATGCTTCATACAGACAATTCAACAGTGGCGTTTTATGTGAACAATGGGGCTCAACCAGGTCCCCGAACCTATTGACTCTATGTTTTCAATTGTTCCATCTAATAGACAATCTCAACATACATGTCAGAGCATGTCACATTCCAGGAGCAAAAAATGTAATAGCAGACGCTCGCTCTCGGCCACACCTACCATCGCCGACAGAATGGATGCTCCATACAGAGATATTCGCACAAATTATCAAGAAAATAGGAGCTCCACTAATAGACCTATTTGCCACTCGATTCAACAATCAGCTGACAACATTCGTATCACCAGTTCCAGACCCACTAGCATGGGCAGCGGACGACTAAGCATATCGTGGGAAGGACTCAGCGCGACGCGCCTCCGCGCCAGCGTTAATCCCACAGATGTTACAGAAAATCAAGCAAACTCGAGCCTCCAAATGATTTTGGTCGCCCTACTGGCCAGAGAGCGTGGTTTCCCACTCTTATTCAAGAAATCGGACAACCAATACTACAACTTCCAAAGCTTTCGAATCTACTAATACATCCTCACACCAAACAAGCATACGGGAAAGCCAGAAGCATTCCAACTTCGCGTATGGACTGTATTAAGGCGTGTCTAAACAAGAGAGGTTATTCAGCCAGGCGGTAAAAGCAGTCACGCTTGCCCTACGTAACTCCACTCGCAACTAGTACGATGACAAGTGGCACAGTTTTGAAAATTATGCTGCAAAGAAAGGATTTACAGCTAGATATGCTACACATCCACAAGTGGCTGACTACTTATGTTACCTACGTCAGACTAAACATCTAAAAGGCTCAACATTATCAAAATATCTCGCAGCTTTAAGCTCTGTCATAACTATGAGAACGGGTGTCAAGCTGACGAAAACACCATAGTTACTCGCCTTACTACGTGCATTCCGATTGGAGGATCAGAAACAGAGGTTTCGTGCTCCAGCATGGGATCTAAATGCCATGCTGGCATATGAGGCATATGAACCACTCGAATCAACATCATTCGAATTTCTGACACAGAAAACTTTGTTCCTGTTATCCCTAGCAACAGCAGCCAGGATGTCAGAGATTCACGCACTAGATTACGAGAGAACACGCTTTGATGACAATCATAACATCGTGCATATGGGACTACGCTGGGATTTTATCGCTAAAAAACAGTTGCCAGGTCAACCAGACAGATTATTCCATGTCCCAGCTCTCTCATCAATTCTCGGACCTCATGATACACTGGATCTATCATTATGCCCAGTCAGAGCACTGAAAATATATCTACGACGTTCCAATCCGAGGCGACATAAGCTCAGACGATTATTCATCCCTCTGTCGACAGCTACACAGACGGAAGTCTCACGTACAACTATCTCGATATGGATCAGGGCTGTCATACTACGTGCCTACAAGGCTGCAGGACTCGACCCTCCAAGAGCATCTAATCCACATGAAATTAGAGAGCTAGCTTCAACACTTGCTCTACACGGCAATTGCTCTTTGAATACCATCATGGAGGGCTGTTTCTGGAGATCCGATATGGTGTTTGCCAACCACTATCTGAGAGATATCACCACCGAGGACGTCTCAGGTATTCACCATTTCGGTCCCATGGTCCTCGCACAACAGTTGACAGTCCCTCGGAGAAGATAAGTCAATCTTACGAGATTTTTACTGCTTATTTCATAACAGTACTATATAGCTAATAACTCCATGAAGTTTATGCTATTGTATATATGTTAGCTTAAGTTAATCACGATCTTAAGCTCAGTATTATGTTGATTATATCACAATAATATCCTTAGCTAACAACTCTATGAAGTTTATGCTATTATATTATCAAGCTTAAGTCTATATTAGTCTTAAGCATAGTATTCATGTTGTAAATACGTCATTTATGTTTATCATAATATCTATATATTGTAGTAACCCATATATGGCAGCTGATAAGTTTAACAGCAGGAATTTATCAATTCAGTGCCTTTATGAAGTTCCCATAGGGGTTA